AAAAAAAAAAAAAAAAAAAAAAAAAAAATACTTTACAAAGTAATATATGGAAGGACATGAACAGGACAGGGTTCTAAGGAAAGGATTCCAAGATGTCTAATTTATATTCTTTGGTTTTTCTCAAATAAATAGAAAAAGGTTGAAAAATATCTTAGTAAATTTTTTAAAAAGAGATAAAATACCCTAATAAGAATTCAAAGCTACAAACACGATCATAACACAAAATACAAAGTAACAGCTTAACCAATGTTATTCATTGTCTGCCAAGCATTCATTATGAGGCAGAAAGAACAAAAAAGTAGACTTTTTACTATTCTAACTTTTTAATATATGTAACTAACATACATCAGGTTGGAACTGAACAATCAGGACTGGTAAGGACTGGGTGACAGCAAAGCAAATTAAGAACTTAAAATATGACCTTTATCCTAAATGGGTAGTCTTGTGGCTTTTCATGTGATGAGAACCATGGGGCAACACTCATGGATCTATATGAAACAGTTTGGAAAGTGATATACAAGTAATTCAGTTAGACTGCTAAACATGTAAAATTTAAGATCTGTGCCAGAAATTGTAGAATTAGTAGGAAAAACCAACATAATGTTTACTACAGATATAGACAGGAAAACAATCAAGAATAATAAATATACATCAGAAAGGAATTAAAAATCAATAAATTTTATAGAACAATCTCAATATTCATAAATATAATAACAATATTTGAAAACAAAGCATATCTAAGTGTGTTCCCACAGAGCAAGAATAGGGCTGTTTGTAACATAAGGAGGAATAGGAGGTGTAAAGTAAATTACACCTACTGAATTACTATACAACCAATCCTCTTATATTTTCTTCATAAAGTCATTAATTTGCAGCAGAAAAAAAAGTTTGAAATTAGAGATTATTTCAACCCCCATTATCTACATCTCTAGCTGGCTTAGATCATGCCTCAGGCAAAAAGAAAAGGGGAAGAGGAGAAACTATTAAAGTATTTAAGAATGGCATTTAAATAAGTAAAAGGTAAGTAAAAAATAATGATGTATTTGAACTATAAAGCTGCATTTTAAATTTTTTTTAAACCAAACCGTGTTATGTTAAATTATCTCTACAGTTCTTTGCAACACTAAATTTCTCATAATTCTATGAATTTCAAATGCAGTTATTGAGAAGTCATATTATTTCTTAGCAGATAATCTTACAGCACCATCTTCTGGTATAACATCACTGTGCATAGTCTAACAATCAGAAAATAACAATCATGTTACTATCCTGGTTTTATTTAATAAAACCTTATGGTACATGAAATTTAAAAATTCAAGATATAATAACAAACTGGGTAACTAAAGAAAGATGTTCTCTGTTAAGCAAGAGCAGAGGTTACCTAGCACTGGTCTCATGACAGACAAAACTGAATTGAAATCAAGATTTTGGAAAGGTTCAGAAAATGGAAGGCTAAAAAAACTAGGTTTACCAGATCAACAGAATATATGAGTGATGGGTACTAGCAGTCAGATTTCTAAGATTGAAATGTTGGCAGATGGCAGTGATGACTACAAGCCATACTGCTGCCTATACCAAAGATCAGAAAAAACAACTCTACATGAGGCAAAGATTTAAATCAGACACATAGAAGGGAAAAATAAATTCTGTTCCACCAGAAGCCATAAGAAAAATATATGACACATACAAAATATATATACACATACAAACATATATACTCATATCATAAAAGACATAATATTCCCTAATGTTTAATTTAGTCCTAACTAGACATAAAGGAATGAGTAAGTCTATACCCCTAAACAGTGGGTGTTTGCTCAGAAGTCACTGTTTTTAGCTAACATTTATTTGCCTCTATGTGCCATGCTCTGTACTAAGCATTTTAAATGGATCTCCTTTAAGTCAACTTAGATAAATAATCCACTTAGTATCTCTACTTTTCATTTGAGAGAACTGACATTTGAAAGTTACCTAAATGGCTAGTGGTTAAGTAGCACACAGGTGGCAAAGCTACACATAAAGCCAGTTTGACTCCAGAGCCTGAAGACTAGAGTGACTTGCAATTTACCACATACTACTAATCTACATTAAACAGTAAAGCATACTGATGCATTCCGAATGCACCATCAGAGAATTTAAACGGTCTGACTCTTCCACTGACCCCACAATTTGAGAGATTAGAAACAAGCAGGGTTTTTTTTTTAAAGTTAACTTTCAGTGATGTCATACAGTTAACATTTACTATGTGTTAGTCACTGTTCTAACTCATTTAATCCTCACAAAAGCCCTGAGACACTGGTACTGCTATCATTCCTATTTTATAGATGAGAAAAACCAAAGACCAGATATGTTGAAAATTTGCTCAAGGTCACTAAGTTACTAAATGAGGTGCCAGGGTTTGAACCAGACCAACAGGCTGCAGAGTCTATGCTCTTAACCACGACTCTGTGTTATATCGTACTATAGACTCAAGTATTCTATGACTGTACAACTACAAAATAATGACTACTTACTGGAATGACAACCAAGGGAGACGACGCTCACTACTTAGTGCATCGTTAGTTCACTGCATTGTAACGCCATCTGGTTTGACCTACTGTAATGCTCTATTAAACAGAATATTATGAACACATTTTTCTTCAATTATTTGAGATAAACAGAGAAATTCTGAATAGTTCAATCTAGTTTTTAATAAAAGAAAACTAAACTGGAAATCAAACAATTTACAGGGAAAAAAGAGAAATATTAACCAACTATCTGTATCAGTGACTTACCTTGAAATACTTCCTTCTCATTCGAGTCATGTTCATCAACATAACTCCAGAGTTTATTCCAGTTTTTCCATAGTATGGATGTCTGGCAAAGCGATTATACCATCCTATTCGAGGCTCCTCATGTTCTGGTGCCATCGCAGCAATTTGTGTCGAATTAAATTTCTTTAGTAAAGACCAAATATCATCGACGGGTCGTAAAAAAAGGATATCAGTGTCAACATACAATAGTGAGTCAACTTCTTTCAGGATTAGCTATGAGGAGAGATATTTGAATCATTAACTATAATTCTATTTATTTAAGAAAAACATAAAAGAGTCTTTAATTATAAAAGATATACCTAAGAGATAAGCTAATTTACATTATTTTTTAAAGTAATTTTTCCTAAATGTCATTTTTGACAATTGCACATATAAAGATAATATGCTAATCTTTACTAACTTTCAGAGAAGAAAAGCTATAAAAACAAACCAAAACAAATAACTCAATGCTAACAATTGAGAGAATAAAAGCAGTATCTTCAAAGATCAAGGAGGAAATGTTTTTCATAATAGAAAATAACATTAATTTAGGTGATTTGTATCTCAAAGCCTGATTTCCTGAGATAAATACAGAAATAAACCAATACAAACTAAGATGTTCTTAACTTGTTCCCTCCACCTCCAACACTGACACTGTTACATAATTTGAGAATCAACTAGCAAAAATTGGAACCCAGGTTATAAGGATTCTTATTTCTATGCTTACTGTCTCCCAACAAATCAAAGAAAATGTGCACTTAGCAACAGGTGAAGACTTGTCTTAGAAAAAAGATTAACTATGTTGCGTTTCCTGAAAATGTAAATCTCCAACATGTTCCTTCCCAGAGATTTTCAAGTGTGATTTTTGTATTTCTGTCTTGCCCACGAAATTTAGAATCTGACTTCTGCAAATTTAAATATACTCCCTATCTTAGTCTATTAGCAAGATTCAATGAATAGGTTAAGAAAATATAATGTAAACAAGAGCTTGATCCTCATTCTGCTATTTTTCAAGAGCTGCTACCTCTTCCTGCAACGAAAGTTAAGCTACCACCTTAATGAGCTGCTACTAGGCTAAATTCATCTAGTTCCTTCCTTAGTTCACTATCAGCCGATTTATTATCAGCCTGGGGAAAAGATCTGATGGTGGACTGCAGAGCTTAAGTAGGAAAGGTTCACTTGCTCAAAGACCTCAATTAAAAAGGGGTATATGTGTGTGTGCCTGTGTCTGTCTGTCACCTTTTTGGGGGGAGGGGAGTAAAGAGAATTGTTTTTAATAACAACATTCTGCGCATCTGTACCAGGATACATCATTTGTTTACAGACTGCTGTACTCTTAGCAGACTAGGAAGATGCTGCATAAAGCCCCAGTTCAATGTTGGGAGCCACTGCCAACTAGAGATCAGACACAGGGTTAAATAGTCATCACATGGGTATTTTTCTATGGGTCCTTTTAGGGGAAGGAGGCACTGGCACAGTTTATATTATTATAGTTCTTTTCATTTATTTCAAAGGAAGAGAAACTCAGCAAAAAAGTTTACCCCTAGGAAAAAGGCATAAATTTACCTAAATCTGGGTAGAAAGATGCAGAAGTAACAGTAAAGCAGGAGGACAATTTGATGGCTTTCAAGTATTTTATTTTAGTACTTAAAATTCCATTTAGGAATTTAACTAGATTACATCTTTAAATGATCTGGCGAATTGTATATGATAACACCAACAATTAAACTTGTTAATAAAGTGTTAACAAAGTGCCATAGTGCCAAGGGTTAATAAAGTGCCGTAACAAAATGACAGAGAAATGGCCATAACCTCATGTTTTTCTTGCATCACTCATTATTTTTTGAATAACATATGTGTGTGATTACTTGTTTAATGTCTGTCTTCCCCATCAGACAATAAGCTCTATGAAACCGAGAAACCTGTCTGTTCTATTCATCCCTATACACACAGCACTTCAGTGCAGATGACTAGCAGAAAATAGGCACTCATATTAATTGATGATTGTGATACTGCAATAATTCAAAATAAAATTTATTTTAAAAACTTATAAAGCCTACATGAAGTATCTAAAACTTCTTAGGTTTTTTCCCAATCTTAATCCCTTATTTGTGTGCCTTTTACAATGGAAGGGAAGAAAGATCCTAAAATTCAAAATTTTTTATGCACAGCAACAAAGGCACTGGTTAGGCAGAGCTGACTATCAAAATTGTAACTTAAATTTAAATCTTACTGATATCCTGTATTTGGTAAACTATGTTCTTAATATGCTAAGGATTGCCTTAGTTCACTTAGCAATAACAAGTAATTAAAAGTTCTTCCCCATAATTCATATACTTTCCAGAAACTTGTGTGCTTCTTAAATTCAGTATTTCTACTACCATACGTATTTTTTTATTGCAATACCATAAGTATTTTAAACATCACAGTGGTCCAAACAACTACTGTGAATTTTAAAACTGTGGGTAAAATCAACTCAAAATGGAAGAGGTAACCTTACTTCAGAACATTTTTAGATAAAAAAGAAAAAAAATTAGGGTTTGATACCAGAGAAAACCACCAAAGAATAGCCCCACTAAATAAATGGTTCCCATTTTCCCTTTGAGTTTACATGCTTTAAATTTTGTTACTGTGTTTAAGTATCAGTTAGAATAGATAGACTGGCTTGGTGTAAGACTGAAATTATTATTTAATGATGCAGTCTACCTCACTTCCCAACTCTAAATGTAGTCCACAAGTTGAAGGTGATATTGCCATTGCACTTCTGCTGGCAACAGACTTGGCTTCATTAAGATCTAGCAAACCTCTATTCCTTCTTAGAGATAAGACAGTTCATAGCAACTGAATACATTAAAATGTAAGTAATGGTATTTCAACAGAAATAACTAAAAATTTTTCATTTTTAACAGGGGTTATTTGACTTGTTCTACGTGAATTTTTTCTCATGTTCAAAAGGAAAATATTAATAGCATACATGCACATGTCTATTTATTTAACTGGATTTATTTAACCGATTTACATGTTAACTCTTCAGAAACTCATCTATGTAAAAGTAAGGTTCAAATTTAAAAAAGAAAAAAAAACTGGGGGGAAAACTTACTGGCAAGAACAATCTCTGGGAAGCACATGGTTTAAAGAGCTTTTTCCATTCCGCAGCATTCTCAGTTGGAAAGGTTATAGGGTATAATGTATAATTAAATGTTTGTAGAAATGACCAGCTTTCAAGCTAAAAAATATGAAATAAAAAAAAGAACCCAGTTTAGATTTATTTCACTTTGAATTTTCTCTGTAAAATAATAAACCAACAGATCACAAAACAAAGGAGCTAAAAATTAAGATAATTTTATGTTGTACATAGTTAAGAGAAAGATTCTTCTTCTCCACCATTTTGTTTTCATTCACAAATCTAAAAATCATAGTAATATGCCAGCAAGACTTCACCATTAAGATCTGAGGCACAATGAAAATTATCAGGGTAGGAATCACAAAATCAGAAAGTTGAAGGAGCCTTGCAAGTGTTCATCTCCCTCAACTTTATCTAATGTATAAATCTTCTCAATCTCTAAACAAATTAAAAATAGAAAAATTAAACACTAATATTATTACCACAGTATGTATAATAGATGTTTACATTCAAAGTCACACCAAATATGAAACTGGCTAAAAAATATTTGTCCATCAATGCATAGTTTTAATATGCCTGGATATTCCTTACAATAAAATATTCTGATATACAGCCAATGTCGATTTTTTAAAAAATCATTACAAAAAGCAAAACATCTGAAAATCTATAATGATGTTTACTCTTTAGTATCCTAAATGCATTTCAAGATACTGAATTGTTTCAAATTCAGTTTAAGTATTACCTATCACTCTTGCTTTAATAGAATTGTTGATTCAAATTTCCTAAAGAGCATTCAGAAACAATCTGTAGGGTGAAAAAAACTAGGTTTATGTAACAGGTTGAAGATAATCTCTTTTGAATTATGACTGTGCTTAAGTAATTTTTAAAACATTAATACCTTCCAACACAGTTTAAGGTAATGCCTTTACTTCCAACACTTTACTTGGTGTCCCTGTTAAATATTTTAAAACACTAGCACTTTTATCTTCCCTACTGACTTATTAAAGTCACTTTAAGATCCTTTCAATACCAACTTCAAAATGAAATCTTAGTCAGTTTTCACTTAACATTACAATATTTAGTCATCTTTTTTGTACAAAAAGCATGTTCCATGAAATATGCAGTATTTCTTCATCAAGAGCAAAACCAAATATTCTCAGTGATCATTAGAGTCAAAGAAAAACTAAGTTTAAAAATACAGTGTATGTTACATAAGCAATAACTCTGCCAAGTTTGAACATAACACAGAGGTTGCATCTAAGACAAAGCAACAGATGTTTCACTTTTTTATGATATTTTCAAAGGTTTCCACAGTTGGTAGCAGTCTGTTACTATTCTCTTAACCACTAGGACAAGATTAATTCCTCAGTTAATATTTTAAGAAAACAAACCAGATAAAGATGTCGAGATCACAAATGTATGTATCAAAAATATAGGTACCAGAAATATTTTTAAACAGTCAGTAAACCTTTATACTTCTTGGAATCACATATTTTGGCAGAAAACTAAAAGACCTGAGATTACAAGTGGTAGTTTTCACTCAATATGCAAAATGACCTAATTTAACTCGAAAAAATATCAAATACTTTTTACATAGTTAGGCCAAGCATAAAAATCCAAATCAGTTTGAGAGATTAATTTAGTGGAGACAGAGACAGACAAACAGATGGGGCAGGGGGTAGCGCCATGTTGAATAGAATATGGATGCAATGGCTAGAGCTTGAGTAGCCCATCTTGGCCCATAACGCAGAAGCCTCATATTGGAAATGGCTCAGTCACAGTTAGATGAAGACAGAGTCCTTGAAGACTAGAGCTGCCATACAACCCGGATTACCTACTTTTATGTGAGAGAGAAATAAAATTCCATCTTGTTTAAGCCACTGTTACTTTGGGTTTTCTGCCACTGCAGCCAAATTGATTTTAACTAATATAAAACCAAAACAAATAACTTTCTTATCAAAGCAAGAAGCCACTTCTCTCCATATTCTCAATCAAGAATTCCCTCCCCTTCAAACAGGATTAAAACCTTTGTGTGCACTCTAAGGAACTCCCAAGCCATGCACAGGGACAAAATTAAATAATAGGACTTCTCACTCAAGACATCCTGGAACTACAGTCACTAAAATAAAACCATACTTGGCAAATGACTTTAAGTAGCCTATTCCTGTTCAAAAACAAACCTTACACCCTAGATCTGGACTCAGGTGACAGTGGAATAAAGGTATTCCCTACTCTAGGAGGACAGAGTTACAGAATAAATCTTTTTGTTCAATGACATTCTATTATAGTATATTATTAAATATTCAACTCTATGACTTTGACTATGTCTCAAATACTTACTCTGCCTTTAAAGCTATCATGTAGTTGATCTTCAGCAAAAATATGGAACTGAAGAGGTTTGATGCTGAAAATGATAGCTGACTTCAACATGGTCATAGTTTCTTCCAGTCTTTCACCACAGGCAACTACAGCTAGGTGCATTTTCTCAACAGGCTGTATTTTCAGACTATACCTAATAGGAAAGAAAACCACATTTTCCAACAGTTTTAGTACATGTTTACAACATGGTATTTTTACCATGTTCAAAAATTGAAGTTCAAAACTGCTATTTAAAAAGCTAAGAAATGTCTAATTATAAAACATTACAATGTTGAAATCAACTGTATATTTCTATACTCTCAACCAGCCTTTCTCAACCGATTTTCCTCACTAGGAATCACAAAACACACAAAAAATGATTACTTTCTCAATTCTCCCAAGAATCCATAATTAGCACCATGTCAGCTACCCAGCAGAGAAGTTAATTCATTACTCATACTGGATGCCTTAAGACATTAGGGCTTAATTCTCTCAAGGAACCCACTGAGAAAGGGAACATCATTGATTTGAAGGTCTTCCATTCAATTTTTAAAAAATTTTTGTTATTTAAGAAAACACCCTTAAACACATTCTTTTAAAAAAAATTTTAATGGAAATTACTCTGTGATTATTTCATCTAAAACTTCTTCCCACCTTCCACCAACCAACAGTTCACTGTAAAGCAAGCCCAGTCATAATTTCATCCATCAATATTTCAGTATTACATCTAATTTTAAATGATGTCAAGAAAAAATTTCCTTCACATACTTTTTTCAGTGACATACATTCAGCCCCATTTACCAAATATTCAGCAAAATACTGATGTCTTTAGAACCTACTTAAAACACAGCAGCAGTGTGTACCAGGTTTAAGTAACCTCTGAAACCTCTTGCATCTGTTGTGCTATTTCTTCCGCGTATTTGGTGTTAGCATAAGCTTGGGTCTTTTTAAAGCTCTCTATTCTTTTCTGCTGACAGCAGTTATGAAGAAGTAGTATCTCCTCCCTTGTCTGTACCATCTCTTTTCCCCTCTTTTCTTCTGAGTCCATCGGTTCATAACACTGAAACAGTGTCATGGAGGGGAAACTATGCTTTCTATATCTTTAACAAGAGGGCATGAATCCAGTTCATCTCAAAACAGTGGAAGCCACAATGACGCAAGTTAAAGACAAGGCAATCAAGACACACAACAACTTTAGAGAACTCCAAATTAGCTCATCCTTCCAGTAAAACTGCCTCTAATCCTATTTCTCATGGGGTATACAGGCCTTCATTGAAGCATCCTCATGGGACTCAATAATGGGCTCAGATTGCTCAACTGGCCCATCACTATGAATAGGCCTTGCCCAAAGTCAAAAGTCAAGAGAAGATTTAAAATTAAGCTTTAATAGTCATATGCTGTTTTACACAGAATCCTCTACATAGACAAGAAGTATATTAAATCTTAAGAAAAATAAGCCAAATATTCCACAAAAAAAAAAAAAAAATCCCTCTAAAATCAGCACCAGGGACTCCTACTCCTGGGCTTTCTGACAAGGGTTGTTCTGGCCACACAGCCAGATCTCCCTCCACCAGCTTCTGCAGTACTGTCTACTGCATCTGCCTTTCTGTCAGGTGTTCCTCTTATTAAAAGTATTATATATAGTACAGGCTCCAACATCTAAACGGACAAAATAAAACATAATTTAAAAGATAGACGTCTCTGATCACCACGCTGTCCCTAGACCCGAAGGACAGGAAAATCAACTGCAACTGGAAGAATCTAAAGTAAACTTCTACACTACAGCAAATGATGACTATAACCTTCTAAGAATTTGCAGGGAAGCAGCCACTCAAATAATTTTGGCCCCAACTGAATGGCAGAATCTTGTCAGGGTCTATAAAAATGGGCTATATTTTAATTGCAGTGTGAATAAGAGAAAAGTCCCTGTGGATTTAAAGATATATTATCCAAAGGACATTTTTAAGTCAAACCTATTTTTCTACAGATACACGATTAGAAGAAATTCTTCAGATGATTCAAAGATAATACCCGAAGGTTCCCATGGTTAAATTTGGCATAACCTCAGCATAAAAAGTACGATAGTAGTGAATAAAAACATATTAGATTTAAAAAAAAGAATCCATGAGTCCAAAATGATATTAAATAAAGGGGTAAGGGGAGGGACCTTTTTAAAAAAGATGAATACCAACCAATAGACGTAGAAGAAATGACAGAATTATAAAACTACTTTGCAATCACCATTGTAACAGGTAATTTGGACAAGAATAATCAATGGATGCCGAAACCACACTGTAACAAAGTATTTCCCCATACATTACAAAAGGGATAAAGATACTCCTGCAGAGTATAAACGTGAGACCACCATCTTAACCACATGACTAAACTTAACCAATAATGTCAAACTTATGACATCAGATGCCTCCTGACGTGCCCAAAGAAAAATACAGTATCTCCTACGCAGTAATCCTGCCAAAAATCCTCAATCTAATCATAAGTAGACAGTCGGGCAAATCTAAATTAAGGGGCATTCTGCAAAACTAAACAAAAATATCAAGTCACAAAAGATACCACCACCCCCACCACGCTTGAAAAAAGGCTGGGAACAGTTCTAGAATAAAGGAAACTAAGTCAATCTAACAGCGGAATGTAATGTATAATCCTTGACTGGGTCCTGAATGGGGAGGAAAAGATATAAAGGACATTAACAGGAAAATATGGAAATAGGAATACATTATATTATATATTCAATAAACAGTGTTAAATAACCTGAGGTGACAATTTTATTATGGTTATATTGGAGAATGTCCTTGTTCATAGCAGATACATAATGAATACAAGTATTTAGGGATGTGTCATGATAGCTGCTGTCTCTCAAATGGTTTGGCCAAAAATAAGTGGCAAAATGTATCAGTAGATAAGTATCTAGATGAAGGATATAGTGTGCTCACTGTACTATTCTTGTAACCTCTGTAGATTTGAAATTTATCAAAGTAAAAAACTGGGGAAGGATGGGTATTAACAGAAAAAAAGTACTTAATGTTCTACATGACAAATTCTAATGTAAATACTGCCAACAGATTTCTAAGCCTCAGGAATAAAATAGCCTTCTTATTTAAAGTAAATTTCTGCTTTAAAGGAATCATAATTTTCCTTCTATTTCTTTTTCTTTAGACAGCACAAATAGCTTCCAGTGTGTTCTTGTGGCCTATTAATTAATTTTCTCTCTCTAAAAAATTATGCATTATAATATTTAGACTAGGAATAAGCATTACAATAAAGTACATAAAGTCAAACTAAACAGAATTAAATTTCAAATATCAATCTCCTCAAACTAAAAAATAACTGCCATGAATCTATCTTTAAAAACTTGCAGTTGAACAAAATGGAAAACTATATTTAAAAACACTAATTTCCTTAATGTACAGCTTTAAAAAAGTTTTTCAGGCCCGGTGCGGTGGCTCACGCCTGTAATCCTAGCTCCTTGGGAGGCCGAGGTGAGAGGACTGCTTCAGCTCAGGAGTTCGAGACCAGCCTGAGCAAGAGTGAGACCCCATCTCTACTAAAAATAGAAGAAAATTAGCTGAACAACTAAAAATATATAGAAAAAATTATCTGGGCACAGTGGCGCGTGCCTGTAGCCCCAGCTACCTGGGAGGCTGAGGCAGGAGGCTCACTTGAGCCCAGGAGTTTGAGGTTGCTGTGAGCTAGGCTGACGCCACGGCACTCTAGCCCAGGCAAAAGAGTGAGACTCTGTCTCAAAAAAAAAAAAAAAAAAAAAGTTTTTCCTCTTACAACAAAAAAAAAGTTATGTTGAATTACCATACTGAGTAAAATACTTTCAAGAGCTGTATATAAATCACTTTTGAAACAAAATACCTTTTAAAAAACTCCAGGATTTTATGTAAAGTGTAAAAAAAAAGAAAATCTAAAAATCCAACATGAAACGTTTAAGTATTAATTTCTAAAATATAATTTAAAATAATCTGTAAAAATATATCTCTTAAAACTGGTATGGGGGATAGGGAGAGATGTATTAAAGGATACAATATTACAGCTAGATAGGAAGAATAAGTTCTGGTGTTCTATAGCACTGTAAGATAACTACAGTTAACAAAAATATATACTTTCAAACAGCTATGAGGATATATATATATATATATATATATACTTACTTTACTTACTTATTGATTGATTGATTGATTGATTGAGACAGGGGCTCACTCTGTTGCCCAGGCTGGAGTATAGTGGTGTGATCATAGCTCACTGCAAGCTCGAACTCCTGGGCTCAAACCATCCTCTTACCTTAGCCTTCCAAGTAGCTGGGAGTAGGCATGTGCCACCATGTCTGGCTAATTTTTTATTTTTTTGTAAAGACGAGGTCTCACTATGTTGCCCAAGCTGGTCTTGAACTCCCGGCCTTAAGTAATCCTCCTACCTTAGCCTCCCAAAGTTCTGGGATTACAGGCATGAGCCACCACACCCAGCCTAGAAGGAGGATATTGAATGATCCCAACACAAAGAAATGATAAATATTTGAGATGATGGATATACTAATTACCCTGATCTGATCACTATACATTATATGTATTGAAATATCACTATGTATCCCATAAATACGTACAATTCTATATTAATTAAGATAAATAAAAAAACAAACTGGTATAGATCCACACAAGATAATACAGCTGACTTTAAATTCACCTACGACCAAAGAATTCATGAATCTAAAATTAATTCCCACCATAAAAAGAAAGATTAAATATTTTAAAGAGCTGATTTTTTAAAAGCTAAGTCATAGAAAAATTAGTACATTAAAAACAAATATTTTTGATAATACTAAAATGTGTTTGCATAATGAAAAGTGAAAAAGAAAACAAATTAGAAAAATATTTGTAATCAATGACAAAAGCAGAATATATTATTCTAAGAGTTCATAAAATAAGCATTAAAAATTCAATAGGTAAATATCAATACAGATGATACACAGAACAAAAGAAGCTAAACAAATATAGAAATATCTTCAATAACAAAATATAAATCAATAATAAGCTATAATTTTACCTTAATAAGTGGTAAAATTATAACTCCCAATAATGCTAAGGTTATGGTGACCCCAATACACTCACACGGTGTTGGTAAAGACTTGAATCTACGCAATTGTTAGAACACAATTTAGTGATATAATTCATTCTTTTAACAAATAATTGGACCTCTTTTATATGCTAAACACTGAGGTAAGCAAGAAATCCACAATCCTGACCTTACACAACTTCCAGCCTATTGTGAAAAGGCAGAATTTTAAAAGAATAAGAAATCATAGTCATTGCTTAAATAGAGAAAGGCAGGGAGACTGCTAAGGATGCTCCCTACACTAACATCTAACCTAGTCTGAAAGTGTTAGGGAAAGCTTCCCAAATGACCCTCTTAAGCATTTGTTATTCACGGGTTGCCAAGCATCTTGCTAGGCATGGGGCTTAAGTGATGAACACCACATGGTATCAACCTGCAAAGAGGTGACAGTATAGAAGTGGACAAAGATTCACAATCACAACAGATGTACCATAAGCAAGAGGATACAGAGATGGGAGATGCAGTGGTCGGTGAAGGGAGATCACACAGTTGGGTAAATGATGAGTACAGCAGTTAAAGGAACAGGAAAAAAGAGGTAGTCATGAGCAACAGTGTAAAAGGAGAAGGGTAAGAAGAGTCAATGTGGACTGACACGTGGAGAAAGTCAGCTGTAAAATGCAGGTCTGATGCTCAGAAAAGAACTCTGGATTGGAAATAGCAGTTAAACAAATTATTCTGTGACTATCGAGGGAATGAGAGAAAAGAGCAGGATACTAAAGAACACATATTTAGGCAACAGGGATAGAGGAGTGCAGGAAGAGAGAAATCAAAGAGCTAAGACACTGGTCTGGTCTCAAAAGCTAGAGACTGACAGAGTTGAAAGAAAATGGAGTGGTAAACAGTGTCAAACGGACAAGAAAAGTAAGATTAGGCCCCAGAAGAACAGTTCAGAGCTCCGGGGTGACTGCAAGGAGAGTCAGGTGACAGATTCTGCTCCTAGAGGGTTGAGGGTGAGGGTTTTTATTTAAGGAAGTAAAAGCGGTAGGTAGGTACTCTTAAAAGAAGTTTGCCAGTGAATGGAAAGAGAGTAATTGAAGCAAGTTGTTGTAGGGATTTTGTGTTTGGTTTTGTTTTAAGGACAGAAGAGAAGTGAGCATTCTGACATGCTACTGGGAAGCAATTAGTCAAACAGGAGACTGAGTAAATGCAAATACAAATTACTTTTTAAGTTCTCAAAGAAAAATAAAGCTCTAAGCATGAAATGCTTTCCAAAACTCAATGGAGTGATGTGTATCCACTGACATGATAATTATGAAGACCATATTATGTGGAAAAAGTACAATTTTAAACTCAAAATTCCAGATTGGTCTATACCTTAATCACAACTTTGTAAAAGCCTAATATTTATATGAATGATGAAAACACTTGTGATGTGAGTTGAAGCCATTTCTCTTTTTTATATTATGTTCACTGTACAATAATTGGGAGGAAATGATCCCTCAGATAAGCTCTGAGCAAAATTATATTAAGAATTCAAGTTGGGAAAGCTAGGAGAGGCCTGGGAAGAAGAATGCAGTGCCCAGCTAAGGGACCCCCTGATACCGGCAGAATGTGACACCAAAGGCAACAGTAAAGGGGAATTCCAAAGAAGCTTTACCAGGTGGGGAGAGAAGCTCTTAAAGTCAGGCAAAAATGATGTATTATGTAAACTAAATATTGAAGTGGAGGGTAAGAATGATATGGCCATTGCATGCCATTTTGGCTTGTCTGCCTGTTTGAAATAGGGTAATTAAATGAAAGGGATCCTTCGTTCTAACTAAGAAACTAAGTTTGAGAGACTTTTACATAATATGATACATATAACAAACGTTACTATTTTTTATGTAATCATATGATATAATGGATGCAATATTACAGGTAGAAAGTGTAACAGAGGAATATAACTTCTAAAATCTCAAATTTGGGATTATTATTACTCATGCTGTAATTTACAAAAGGGTCTGGGTTATATAAATCAGAGTATATTGAAGTTTTCAAGTTTACCCAGCTCCTAGAGTTAGCAGAATTATGTCACAAGGCAAAGTGGTACTTGTCAATACTCCATTCATTAACCAATATTCATAAGAATGAAAACGTAAGAAGCTCCAATTCTCCAAAATCATAAACAAACTGAAGGGTAAGATTATCTTTAAAAGTTGGAACAATCTGACTTGGACTGATGCATATTGAAATTTCAATCACCCAATCTCTTCTACAACAACAGGATATAATTAAAATATCTGATTTCAACTATTCCTTGCCAGTTGTTCATGGAATGCATAGTTTTGAGAATGTAAGAATTTAAAAATATATACAATTAATAGATATTAAGAATGCAGTTCTCACAGACAGTAGCATGGTGGTTACCAAGGGGATGGGGGGCAAGTTATGGGATGGGGAGATGTTGACCAGAGGGTACAGAGTTCCAGTCAGATAGGAGGAATAAATTTTCAAGATCTAGTGCACAGCAAAGTAGCCATAATTAACGATGATGTATCAAATATTTCAAAACTGCTAAGAGAATAGGTTTTAAATGTTCTCATTACAAAAAAACCCAATAAATATGTCATGTGATAGATGTTAATGAGCTTGTTATAATCATTGCGCAGCATATACATACATTGAAACATCACATTGTACCCCATCAATATATGTCAATTAAAAATAAAAATTTTAATTAAATTTTTCTTAAAGTTCTTCCTACCTAGAACACTTTACCTCCTGTCCTTGAACCCAGCTAATAAACTAACTGTTCATCATCTAGTCACTCCCTCCAGGAATCCCACCCCCCGCATGCCTTAAAATGACTCATCATAGTTACAACTTGTCACCCTTTAATCTCAGGTTTACTAGTGTGAGGCTCCTCTTAGAATGTAAGCTCCAGAAGGATAGAGCCACATTAACCTGACTCAAGAGTCTGGTTCTTAGCACCTAGCACAGTGCCTGGCAAACAGAATGAGTAGAATTAACATTTAAATGAATCATAAAGATACAGTAAAAACAGATGATTCTCACAGAAATTTTACTCTAAGGAAAGGTATTTCAGGCTACTACCCCACTCTCCTCTGCTACTATCTCAGGGAGACAGTTTGCGAGCCACTGCTTTATGCCATTCCTATCAACACTTGTTTCTTTCATTGAACATTAGAGCAGGAAGGGACCCAAGAGGTCAGCCAATCCAATACCTTCATTATCCAGAGAAGTGAACAAAGCCAAATTAACTGGTAACTTAAAAGGTCAATAAATGATGTCATATCACTTGCTGCTTCCTCAAATACTTATCTTTATCCTCCTATTCCCCAATATTCAATCTCTCTGCTAATAACTAATATAATCCTTTCCCAGTTGTCCCCAACCACCTACAAAACGTTTTTTCAGTATACTAGCTTTAAATTAAATGCCATATATCTATATGTATCTGTATCTGTAAATGTCAGTGGGAACCTATCTTTATCACCCGTTAATCACCTATTACCTAAAGTTAGATCATAAATTCTCCTAACAACAATGGTTTATCTTAATAACATATTAAAAGAATTTAGAGCAGTTACATGCAGCATATACCAAAATTCATGATAACTACAAAATGGGAAAAAGAAATAGAAAACTCAGCCAGAAAATGTTTACTTATATAAGAAAAGAAACATTTTTTACATCCTATTACAATCATCTTAAGTTTTATTACCTACTATCTACTCTTACCTACACTGATCTATCAATTAAATATAAGTGCCTACCTAAAAGCCGCTTCCCAAAAGCAGTTCATTCCACAAACATCAGAGGGCAGCATCCAATAGGGATTCCAGTAACACAGAGAGAAATCTTTACACCTAACAGAGTAAGACAGAAATATCCTATGTGAGTATTTTGGTTGGAAATTATCAAGGAATTTGCTCAGTCACACAATAACTTACTGTTCTATTTCAGAGCAACAAACCAGCAAATCCAAGTTACTATAAGTGTTGTCATTTTTTTTTTTTTTTTTGGAAAATTGATTTCTCCCTCACTTAGGGCACCATTATTTTAAATAAGACTTGAAGGTAGAATATACCACTGATTGGCAAAGTTTTCTAGTGAGTAACTCTCCTGATATATTAAAATCCCCTCACCAGATGATAGAGACAAACTATGTCTTCTAAAATTTTCTTCATGGACCAACATATTCCCCTAGAACAAAATCCATTTCAGCCAAACAAAATATTTGCTTATCCTGAAACAAAATAAAAATGCCACAAATGCTGGTGGAAAGGGAAAAGACGATCTTCTAAATTAATCCTTAATCCAAGCTACTTGTATGGTGTTTTAAACTGAAAAATAAGAAATCATAATGGCCAACAGGTATATGAAAAAAATGCTCAACATCTCTAATTATCAGGGAAATGCAAAATCACAATGAGATATCATCTCATCCCAGTTAAAATGGCTACTATCAAAAAGAAAAAATAACAGATGTTGGGGAGGATGCAGAGAACAGGGAGTATCCGTATAGGGCTGGTGGGAATGTAAATTAGTACAAGTACTATGGATATCAGTGTGGAGATTCCTCAAAAAACTAAAAATATCCAGTGCAGATGCTCTGAAGGCCCTGGCTTCACCACAATGCAATATATTAATGTGGCAAAATTGTACCTGCACTCAATAAATATAAACAAATAAAAAAAAAAACTAAAAATAGAACTACCATATGATCCAGCAATCCCACTACAGGGTATACATCCAAAAGAAAAGAAATCAGAATATCAAAAAGGTATCTACACTCTCATCTTTATTGCAGCACTATTCATAATAGCCAAGATAGAGAACCAATCTAAGTATCCAACAGCATATGAACAGATAAAGGAAATGTACTACATACACACAATGGAATATTATTCAGCCATTAAAAAATGAAATCTTATCATTTGCAGCACCATGGATAGAACTGGAGGACATCAGGTTGAGTGAAACAAACCAGGAACAGAATGACATATCACATGTCGTAAGTGGGAACTCAAAAAGTGGATCTCACGCAGGTATAAAGTAGAATGGTGGCCACCAGAGGCTAAAAAGAGTAGGGGTGTAGGGGTATGAAAAGAGGTTGGTTAATGGGTACAAAAATACAGTTAGATTCAAGGAGTAAGTCCTAGTGTTCAATAGCACAGCAGGGTGACTATACTTAACAAAAATTTATTATATACTTCAAAACATCTATAAGAAAGATTTGAAATGTTCCCAACACAAGAAATGATAAATGTTTGAGGTGACAGATACCCCAATTACTGTGATTTGATCACTACACATTGTATGCATATATTGAAATATCAATGTACTCTAGAAATATGTGCAATCAATATGTATCAAAATATGAACAAAAAAAGAAATCATGTGGTCCAGTTTCAATATCTACATTGCTTCCATTTCATATTACACAAGCTCAAATGGAAGATCAAGTGTGGTCTTTCTTCTTAGATTGCAGGTAGGAGCTAAAAAGGCCTCATGTTACAGAAAGTATGTGTTTCATTGTTACTTCTTTTCAAAACAATAGCCTAAAATTCACTACAATGGAGGCCTGGGTACTAAAGTACGTATGAAGTCAGGGTTAATCACTAAACCAGTCTACTTCATACCTCATCACTATGTAGGCTTTGCTTTCTCTTGCTATAAATTCAATTAAAAGTTACTATTCTTATATTAGAAAGTCTATGAAATTTCTGATTCACAAAAATCTATTATTACATCTCTGAAAAATGTCAACAGTCTAAGGCAGGAGTTCTCAGCCCTGGCTGCATAATGAAATCACCCAGAGAGCCCCACATCAAACTTATTAAATCAGAATCTCTGGGAACAGGGTCTGGCACTGCTGGTTTTTAAAATGCTGCTTATTGGCTGGGCACGGTGGCTCACACCTGTAATCCTAGCACTCTGGGAGGCTGAGGTGGGAGGATCACTTGAGGTCAAGAGTCTGAGACCAGCCTGAGCAAAAGCAAGACCCCATCTCTACTAAAAATAGAAAAAAAATTAGCTGGTGGTGTGCGTCTGTAGTCCTAGCTACTTGGGAGGCTGAGGCAGGAGGATGGCTTTAGCCGAGGAATTTGAGGTTGCAGGAGCCATGGTGATGCCACTACATTCTAGCCCAGGCAACAGAGCAAGACCCTGTCTTTAAAAAAAAAAAGGAAGTAGGATCTATCTCCCCTATGCAGAATCTAGGTGAGCTCTGTGACTGCTCTGACAAATAGAATATGGTGCTATGATACTGTGCCAATTTCCAAACCCTTGCCTGAAGAGCAGCTTCCATTTCCTGTCTCTTGGAACACTCTTTGAAGCCAGTCTCCATGAAGCCCAAAGCATATGGAGAAGCCATTTGAGAGGACACAGGTCAATAGCCCCAGCTGGGTTCACAGTCCTCTTCTCAATGCCAAATCCCACTTTTCCTCTATCCATTCATTCAATAAATCAGTAAATTATCTACTGAATGACCACCTACACAGGCTAAACACTGAAAACACAATAGTGATTAATACGTACATGGATCATACTGTCTAGCAGGGAATGACAGAATGCCATCTTGGATAGTGCAATACGGGAGACCTCCTCAACATCCAGGTTAAACAATTCTTCAACTCCAGTAACTTTTACATCCTCTTCCCTTCAGTTAAAAATGGCAAATCCTGGACCTTGTAATCACCTAAAAATGCAATCCTAAACTCCAATATCTCATATCTCACATTAGTCTTTAATCTTTTAGGTCATTAAATATGAAATGTCCAATTTCAAATCCAAAGTGTTTATTATATTTCAAACAAGAAGCACTACAATTAAAGTATGTACCTAACTACCAACACAGTCTTGCTATCTTAAGAGTAGCTTGTTTATGCTAGCAGCAAAGAAGCCTGGAGAGCAAGTGGCGATGAAATCACAAAAGGCGTTTTCCACAGCTTGTTGAGAATTGAATATTTTCCCTTGCAAGAAGTGGTCCAAAGCCTGGAAGAAGTGACAGTCAGCTGGTGCAAGATCTGGTGAATGTGGTGGATGACAGAGAGTTCCAAGTCCAGCCTCTGTAGTTTAAGCAGCATTGTTTGTGTGACATGTGGTTGAGCATTGTCTTGCAAGAGGATTGGCCTGTCTCTATTGACCAATCTCGGCTGCTTAATCCCAAGTATCGTCATCATTCCACCCAATTCATTGAAGTAAATATCCGTTGTCATCAACTGACCAGGTTTCATGAAGCTGTAGTGGATAATACCAGCGCTGGACCAACAAATCAGACTCGATTAGCTTTTTTTGATGAATATTTGGTTTTGGACTGTGTTTCAGCACTTCTTCTTTACCGAACCCTTGTGCTGAATGCTTGCAATTGTCAAAAAGAATCCATTTTTCATCACACGTAACAATATGATATAGAAATAGTTTGCTTCTATGTCATGACAGCAAAGAAAGGCCAGCTTCAAGATGATTTCTCTTCTAACACTCATTTAATGCATGTGGAATCATCTATCCAGCTTCTTTACCTTGCCCATTTGTTTCAAATGGTCCAATATTGTTGGAATAATAATGTCAAATCTTAGTGCTAACTCACACATATGCTGACATGGATTCACGTCCACTACAGCTTTCAGCTCATCATTATCCACCTTGGTCTCAGGTTGCCCACATGGCTCATTTTCAAGATTAAAATCATCAGAACTGGGACGTTGGTACTTTGAGACAGGAGTCTGCCAACCTCCTCAACTGCTGGCAAATTAATAAACTCCTCTTTCCTTCTCCTCAAAAAAAAAAAAAAAAAAAAATCACCAGAATGGAACTTCTCAAACCATTGATGTAGTGTGCGTACATTAGCCACATCCTTCCCAAACACTTCATTGATATTTTGAGCTGTCAGTGCAGCATTGGTTCCACGAAAATAACATGAATTTTTGACTTATCCATTTAGAGCAATTCACAAAAATTGCTCTAAAAAAAATTTGAAAGATAATCTCAAGCCAAACCGTGCATTTGAAAGGCACGTATTGTGAAGGATGCACCTTGACAATAAACATAGAACAAGAAGTGTCAAAGTGAAATGTCAGAGATATCAACTGTCAAACTTAGTACTTAGGGAAACTGGACATTTCATATTTAATTACCTAAATAATTCTCTATATCTCATTATATCTGTTTGGAAATCATTCAGCCCTCCAATCACATGCTTCCTAATTATAAGCTCCCTTCCCTATTCATTCCCCTCCCCACTCATACTACACCACACGGTCCATCTGTTCACTTTCTTACATCCACAACTTCTAACTTCTACCTCATTCCTTCACCATATCTTTTCTGTACAATCCCACATTGAAACCTAGCCATTCACTTACCTTCTCAGATGAATACTGAAGAACAGCTGACACAATTATGCTGATTAGAAGTATAACATTCAGGAGGATGTTGGTATTTTGAGATGGGAGTCTGCCAACCTCCTCATTGGCTGACAAATTAATAAACTTCTCTTTCTTCTCAAAAAAAAAAAAGAACTATACATTCAGTCTTCCCCTTAGCTAGCCCCTCAAGCCTACTACCAACTACATATGCATTCCACCTGCCTTTTATTGTCCATCTTCTTCTTAGTGGTCGTTAAAGACTTCCTTGTACCAATTAGCCCTTCTGTCTCCTTACTCAGTAATGTCTATTTGTAATTTACAACTTTATAGTTAAGGGTAATTAAGGGTAGTTAAGGATTATACAATCCTGCTCATTGCCATGTGCCCTGCCTGCCTCTGATGGGAGAAGCATATACCCCTGCCTCACTTACTGACTGACCTCATTCAAGTAACTTGCTCTGGGCAAAGTAATGTGAACAGACAGAACACTGAGGCAT